CACTGTCTGACGCGTCTGCCTCCGCGACCCGAAAGGAGAAGCGGCGATGGAAGATGAAGACGAAGATGAAGACAGTAAAGACATGAACGAGGTGTTACTAGCGAAAACATAACCCGATGTTCCGGGGTAGGGTGCATTAATCGAGTTTTCGATACCGCGGTAAGCACATAATATATCAAATATAACGATGTTGGATTCAAATGACGAAACGTACAGTGCAAATAAAGAATAATCCATATCTTACTTTACACCGATATTGCGATGACGTAAGACACTTAAAAATCTTACACTACAGAGTACCACAATCTTGCACAGACCCATTACTTCTAGTAGCCTAGGGGAACCACTCAGGCAGGAGACGACTTCATGGCGTTTAAGCGCCTGCAATGCGTGACAAAAATATGGCATTTTTAGACTTGGTACAAGCCCATGATCGAATAACGAGGAAGATAATTGCGGAGCATGCGAAACAAGCTACTACCGGAAAGGTACATACAGCTTATGAAATATACTTATAGTGAAGTGACCACGATGGTTCAAAATACATGGGGTGAAACAGAAAAGTTCAATGTTTGAGTCGGAATAAAGGATCAACACTCCGCCGACAGTTCTTCATAACGAGATCGGTGTTAGCTAATGCCTGCCAAATGTACCCCATTATGCAGGGTCTTTGCAAATGATATGAACACGAGGAATGAAGTGCGGAAAGTGGTAGGAGTAAAAACTTCAGCAACAGAAGCAGTCCTTGAAATGAAACGGGTTTCAGGATTCTAGGTGTCAGTGTCCGAGAAATTATCATACGGGTATATTAAAGGTAGCCAAGGTAACAGAAAAGTACAAAGAACGCAGCTCTGAGGGTTCAGCTTCGTGAAAGGAAGAACTATAGAGCACGTACAAAGTCAGATTTTTAGACGACATAGTGCGAGAAAAGCAAAGAAACTTTAAGCTGGAAATAAGTGAAAACAAACTTGATTACGTTAAAGGCAAGAGGAAGAGAGCAGGGCAAACAATATCCACAGTAATCAGATGGATCAACAGGTTGTGTTCCTGTACGTGTCATCGGTCGCCCATGTTTTGATTCGATCCAACAAATTAGTGCTGTTTTGGGCAGATGCAAGCTCTAAAATACCATGGGGCAGCCAGACGTTCAAACATTTCCCTACGCTACTAGAAGCAAGAGACAGTGTAAGTACGCTGAGCGAATTTAGTGAATTAACAGGAGACAATCAGAACATCATATCACCCATTCTGTTGTATCAAATGGTGCAGACTGGCTGAACGTTTCTTGATAATCTCCCATAATTTCTGCCTCCAGGTTTTGCTTCAAGCAGGTAGTTATTTTTTTAGCAATCATAGAACGACAACAAAGTTTTCTCGCGCTTTTTCAGAAATACTTGAATTACAATTACTTCCAGCGTTAGTGCTTCCTGCCTTCATTGCCCTGTGAAATGTACGATTAACTCTTTTCGTCATTAAGTCTACTTCTTGAACAGAGGATGGAATCTTAAGTAAGCAACTGTAATATCTGTTGGCTTTCTCTTCTTAACCTGCACTCTTTAGTTTGAACTAACATCAGACCAAGTATCGAATTGACACTTATGACAGAAAGCGACAACTACTTTCTCACAAAAAGCGAATGGATTATTGAAGGTGCGCCCGTCTTACCCCATCATCAAGAGCTTTTTTTCTGAAATGATGAGCAATGAAGCAAGTGCTTCTTAGTGCACTTGATACTGCCATGTCTTCTATGTTAGAGCGCTGATCGAAACCTGATAATTCTTGATCTCCCAAACTGCTGCTAATTGTTCCGTGTGACAACAGTGACATCATAATACTTTGTGATTTTTCGT